CTGTGTGTGTGCCCGTAGAGCTGCAGCCTCACTGCCTGCTCTGGGCTCTGCTGCTCCCCTGGCAGCTCGGCAGTGAGCTGTGCTGAGCTTCTTCCCACGGCCAGCACTCCTGCCATGCCCTTCCCGGAGGGCACCAGCTGTCCTTGCCAGTCGTACTGACCCAAAAAGAACAAGAGAGGTCAATCCTTGAGACTCCTGCATCTCAGTCACAGCCAGGTGCCACCATTGGTGCCACCATTATTGCACAGAGAGGGAAAGCAGCTCCATGGTGCCCACAGCCCAACTCTTTTTTGCCCACAGGACATAAGGATGCTGAAGCAGTGGCTTTGGAGGGAACAGAGGAGCCAGTGTACAGGCACTGCCACCTGCACAGAGCCTTCCCACAGCCTGTGGGGGCAAACAGGGCTGCCCAAGCTGGCTGGCTGCACTGGCAGTGGTGCCAGCAGGCAGAAAGGGACAGTGCAGAGGGTGCTGGGGAGTGGCAGGAATGTTTCCAAGAGGACAGATACAGGTTTCAAGTGCTGCCTTGATGCTAAAGTGATCCTTCTGTCAGAGGAACCCTGTGGCATCATCTCCTGCAGTCCTGCAGAACTGACTTTGGCAATGCTGAAGTTCACAGCATGGGCAGGAGAGTTTACATGGGGTAAACAATGTGCCTGGCTGGAGGAGGTCTGACCATCCCCTAACCAGTGTATGCTTGCTGCTGGTTATCAGAGCTGCTTTTCACATCCCTGATGAGGAATAACTCAGTCCAACCCACCTTTCTCTCACCCTCTGAGTTATTTTTGAGACCCTTTGGCTTGAGAAGTGATGGGTGAAACAAGAAAACTGAAATTATTTTCTTTTTGTTTAGCAAGTACCTTCTAAATACAGAGCAGCCCTCCCTGGTGTCTCACTGAGAGAGGCTTTTGCTTTGGCAGCAACAGAATCTGTTTCTCTACCATCCACAGGACTCCCCATGGGCCAGCTGGACTCCAGTGGGAATCCCACAGCACAAACAGCAGCTCCCATTTGACAGAGGCACTGAGCTACAGCTGCAGTGGAGTTCTTGGGGATGCCCCATGGCCAGGCTGTGTAAGGTCATCCATGTGAGCATCCTGGATGTGCTGGCCAGGGAGCCCCAGGTCTGATAGGGCAACTATCATGGACAGTTCATGGAAGGATGCATGGATAGTTCATGGAAGGATGTCTCCTATGCATGGATAGTTCATGGAAGGCCAGAGCAGAGATTTGGTTCTTCAGCCTAGTTATTATAATGGAATCACAGAATGGTTTGGGGTGGGAGGAGTATTAAAGCTCACCTCATTCCAACCCCCTGCCATGGCAGGGACACCTCCCACTGTCCCAGGCTGCTCCCAGCCCTGTCCAGCCTGGCCTGGGACACTGCCAGGGATCCAGGGGCAGCCACAGCTGCTCTGGGCACCCTGTGCCAGGGCCTCACCTCAACCAGCTGGTGCTGGATCTAAGCTGCCTCCTCTGAAAGGCAGTGGAAGTTGTGCTGAAGCATTGTTTTAAGTACAGGGGTTTGCCCACCCCACCACTTGTCTCTGTGGCTCTCTCTGTTCAGCCCAGCCCTGTGTGCCCCAGGGAGAATCATCCTTTACCCTGAAGAAGTTCTCCAGGATGTAGTTAGCAGCAACCCAATTGAATGCTTCTTCCTCTGGGCTGGACAGGATTTGTGCCCCTTGAAAGTTGAAGGGGGATGACTTCAGGGTGCCAGTCAGAGCTGCAAGGAGACTGGCAGAGAGGATGGGATGGGTGAGGCTAAACACAAAAGAAAAAGAAAGCACATTTGAGGTTACAGGACCCTGCCAGGAGCTGCCTGCAGTGGGGGCACACTGCAGGGCTTCTGCTGTGTTCCCTACTTTGGGAGTAGCCCAAAACCACAGTGACAATCCCACTCCTGCTGCTGCTTCCCTCTCCCCTCACATGGCACTGGGGGCAAGAGCAGCAGAGGGAAGGTTTGAACAATTGTGCCACTTGTTTAAGAACTTAGGACCTCAGTACCCTCTGTCACTGAGAAATCCTCTGGCCCTATCCCACTGGCCTGTCCCCTCCAGACCTCACTTTTCCCCAGTGTCTAAAAGGAGATAAAGGTCCCAGTGATGTGACTGAGAAGAGGGTCCACAAGAGTGTGTGGGATAAGGGGAACCTTCCCACCACCATTTCCAGTGTGCTTACAAAAAACACTCCTGCAAGCCCACGTGGGCTGTCACACAAACTGAAACCACTTGAGCTTCCAGACTGATGGGTGTTTTCCCAATCACTAATTGTGAAAGTGTAATTGTGAAGGAGACACTGCCAGCCTGGCAGCAGTTGCAGGACTGTCATCTTCATGGCTGCCTGGGGCAGCACATGGAGACACAGCCCTGCCATGCTCCTCTCCTCAGGGCCTGAGGAAGGTTTACCTGGCTAGCACATTAGGGATGGCTCACCCTGCAGAGCAGCCAGGTGAGATGGCTGTTACAGAATGATCCTGTGATGTGTGCTGGTCTCTGGGTGTGGGTTTGCAATATTCACTCACTTCAGCTGCCTCATGCTGGCAGTGGCTCCCAGGTACAGGGGGGTTTGGCTGTGCTGCTCTGCTGGGATCTCATTCTGGGCCCAGTTCAAACATGGCTCCAAGCTCTTCCCAGCTTTCTGAGGAGAATCTGAGTAGCTGGAGACTCCTGGACCTGAGGACCATGGAACAGAATGGAATTTCAAGGGAAGTTATGGGAGAACTGTGAGAGCTGTTACCCCAGAGATTGCTATCCTAGGACATGCTTAAAACAGAACCTCTCACAGGTGGAATGAAGGAGGTCTTCTGTCACAGACATCTTTTATGAAAAATCCTTTCCTTAGGATTTTTCCTCCTGAGAAGCTGAGAGGCCTCAGGAACAAAATGTAAACAATGATTATCTGCTGCTGTGGAATGCAACAGGTGCATCTGTGATTGGTCTCATGTGGTTGTTTCTAATTAATGGCCAATCACAGTCAGCTGGCTTGGACTCTCTGTCTGAGACAGAAGCTTTTGTTATCATTCTTTCCTATTCTATTCTTAGCCAGCCTTCTGATGAAATCCTTTCTTCTGTTCTTTCAGTATAGTTTTATTGTAATATATATAATAAAATAATAAATCAGCCTTCTGAAACATGGAGTCAGATCCTCGTCTCTTCCCACATCCTCGGACCCCTGTGAACACCATCACAGTCTTCCAGGTATCCATCCTACTAAAATATGGAAGTGAGACCAAAATGTGCACAGAAATCCCAAATTACACTAAGGCTACCCTAGCTCTGCAGCTGAGACATCTATACCAGCCACATGACTGCTGCAACAGCTGAGGCTGTCTCAGCCCACAGAGGAAGAAGTGTGGCTTTAGTTGCTATAGAAATAAGCAAAGGACACAGAGGCTGATGTGTCCCCCAGCCACTGAGCCCTGCTGGCAAGCAAGACACCCCTGCCCTAGAGGAAGCCAGGGCTCTGCAGAGGGAAACTGTGTGCCAGCCTTGACTCACTTTTCCAGCAAGTCAGTGGGGTCTTAAATGTTGGTTTTGAAGGAGAGTTTCCCTTCCCCACCCTCCTGACTCCCTCAGCAGGTGCTTTGCTCTCTGTGGCTGTGCTGCCATTCAGGCAGGGCCACTCACACCTGGGCTCCAGCCCTGCCTGGGCCTCTTGTGCTGCTGCTGGCAGCAAACAGAGCTGCTGCTGAACCCAGCCACTGAATGAGGGACATGAACAAGGTTCCAGGGAGCCTTTCTTGCCTCTTCTGTGTGTGATTTGTGTTGTTTACAGCCTGCAAGGGCACAAACCCTGATCCCTGCTTGCTGTGCAGCTGCCCTCCCCCAGCACACTCTGCTGAGGGCTCAGTCCTTCCCAGCATCCCACTACAACCAGGCTTTAACATCAAAGCAAGATTAGGAGATAGGGAAGGAAAACCCCATGCATTAATGCATGAAACCCTCTCAGCTGGCATTGGCAGGGCCAAACTGATCCAAATTTGTGAGGAAAACCCCCAACTTTTCTGAAATGGGACACCTAAAGGCAAGCTGAACTCATGCTTGTGCTGTCAAATGCCATATGGGGGATTGGAATTTTTTCAGCTCTGTTGTCCTGGAGCTACCCCACTCACTGCCCAGGGCACAGTCAGGAGGAGGCAGAAGATACCAGGAATCATCCTGCAGTCAGATTTGTCTCCATTGCTGTTCACTGCCTCTCCTGGGTGAGAAGCTCCAGCAACCTTGGCTCTACCACTGATTCACGTGGGCATCAGGAGCAGCCACATCCTCTCTGCATGCTTCCCTGCCTGCAGCAGCCCCAAAATCCTGACACTGTTACTGCCAAGTGCCTGATGCCCAGCTGTGTGTGGCTAAATCTGCCCAGTGGAGAAGAGCCATGCTGAAAAGAAGCATCTTGTGCTTCACCATTTCTGTGCACAGCTGGGTGGTGCAGGAGCCAAGGAATTTATGGCACTGGTCCATGCACAGGTCTCTGTTTTTCCATCCATCCCATGGCAGTCTCACAGTCCATTGAGCAGGAAATGGGCACCTTACCTTGCACAGGACAGGAACTGCATCCTCTGATCACCCCGGTCTTGTTTGCCTTGGTGGTTGTCCACTGGTAGATGAAGAGGATGGTGCGGGATGGACCAGCATCCAGAACAATGCCATACTGGAAAAACCCCAGAACATTCTGCTGAAAAACACTACTGAATGCATGCTGATTGATATTGTAGGGTTACCCAGCATATACAGGTATTCTGGGTGACCCCTGCACTGCAGTGTTTGAGTTTGCTTGTTAACATTCAAAGAGCAGGCAAAGCCGGAAGATGATGAGGATTTGCAGGGAACCATCTGCATTTCTGAATATATATGAGGAACAGCAGGAGTGGAGAAACGCCCAGAAATACATCAGCCCTACAATGGTGTGTGCTGGAGCTGCTCCTGAAACCAGGCAGAGGGCTTCCTTCCCCTGAGAGCTGAGCCACCTGGAGGTCAGGAAAAACAGGTCCTAAAGCAGTGGGAGATGGCACTGTACGAGTTCTGCACGGATTCTGGGACTCAAACTGCTGCTGATTGGTTTGCTCAGGCTTTTGTGCAGGGATTGGAGGGCTGCAGCTCACTTGTCCCAAGGAGCCCTGTGTCTCTTTGATGTCCCACTGCAGTGATGGTGTGACCAGGCTAGGTTTGCCCTGATGTGTGCAGAGCTGTGGGAGCTGCAGCAACCACCACAGACACTGTACAGCACAGCAGCCCTCAGAGACAGAGATGATGTCTTGGCAGGAAGGGCAGCAGCAGTGGAATGAGCAGCTCAGCCCCTTGTCCCCTGGCGGCTCTCTGTCTCTTTGTCCCCAGTGTTTGTCTGTTTGCTGCTGACCCAGCCTTGCTGCTCCCAGTTTATGAGGATGAGCAAGTGGAGGCCACTGGACTACCCTGCAGCACAGCTCTGGATGTCCCCACACCCCAAATAGCCCCAGAGCCAGCCTGGGGCTCCTCTGCTCCTATTACATGACCCCAGTTTGGGATATCTCCTACCCAGGCAGGAAGGAGACCCATGAGCTGCATGGCAGTGCGTGGTCGAAGCTGGATCTCACCCACAAACAGAGCTGGGACTGAGTGGGAGGAAAAACCTCCTGAGAGGCTGATGTTAATGCCACCAGAAGGGTTTCAGCAGCAGACTGAGCTGGCTGCAGGCTCTCAGTGAGGCTGGCTGCCTGCTGCCCTCCTGGAGCTCCCAGTTGCACCAGTCCAGGCACCCAGGCCAGGGCTGGGCTGGGGCAGCAATGCGGAAGGAAAGGAGCTGGAGCTCCCTGCCCGAGCCTGCTGGCACCCTCCCACACCAGTGACAGCTTGGCTTTCTAGCAGGGACATGTTGGCTGCTGCAGAAGAGGAAGAAAGGAATGGCATTGGTGGAGAAATATGGATTGATTTTTTTTTTCCTCCTTCAGAAAATTAGAGGTTGCTGCTGGGAGCACAAGGGACAAGGGGAGGGATCACGATCATCACATTTATGTCCAGCTCAACAGCAGGAAAGGACAGAACAAGGAGCAATAAGGGGGTTTTTAATCCAGTTTTATTTCTGAGAGAAACATGGAGGAGGGGTGCTATCTCTGAACACACAGGATAGCCTCCTTCTGTTGGGTTAAACCATGGTGTGCCACTGAGCTCACCTCAGCAATGGGAGCATCAAGAGACAGCAGGTGGGCATTAACCCCCCCAGACCTGACCCTGCTGTGAGGAGCACACTGGCTCTTTGACTTAAATCAAGACAGGACCAAAGAGAAGAAGGCATGAAAGACAATTTGTTTTTAGGACAGAAGCAGCAGCTCAGGGGCACATTCCTACTGACTTTGGAGAGGGACCTAGCTCTTCCCTGCACTGACACCACTGGTTCTTTGTTGCTCTGGGGCAGCTCCTGCCATGGGCTGCCTCCCCTCAGCCTGCCCTGAGCATCTCCACTGATCCATGGACCATTTCCAGCCTGTATTCCCTGACCAAAGTGCTGGGCTTGTTTCTGGTTTGAAAACCTCCAGCATGTTAAAAGATGCCAACCTGTCCTGACAGTCTTGTCCCAGTTCCCTCCTCGATTTGTAAGCAGCTCAATAATAAAATAAAGTGCAAAGCAAGAAATCAGCCCAGCTTAGCTGCCTGTCTCCCCCTGGAGAGCCTTACCTTGGTCCTGAGTGGGGCCATGGGCACATCTTTGGTGGAGACACAGAGCAGCACGATGCCCGTCAGCCCCGCCACGATCACCAGCCAGGGGGGCAGCAGCTCTCGCCAGGACATGAAGGGAGCTGCTCTCTCCTCTCCCCACAGAGGAAGCCGTGCAGCAGCAAACCGGCTGCTTCTGCACCCTTTAAAAAGAGCAGAAAGGCGTGGCCGGGGCCAGGCTCTGAGTTGAGCCCAGCCCCAAGCCACAGGGAGCACAGGGAGCGTGGGCCTGGCTGTGATGTGTCAGGCTGCTCTGCTTTCCCTTCCATCCCTGCTGCCCAGAAACAACAGGAGGGCTCTGTGCCCGGCCTGTGCAACGGCACCGCTGCAACCTCGAAACTGCCCCAGGCAGCGGGGCTGAGGTAAACACAAATGTGGGCTTAACTCAGCTGGGTAAGGAGCAGAAAGCAGCCAAAACTCATCCCTTTGGTATTCCACGTCTGGCAGTGTGAGCTTCCACGTTAGAAGTTGGGGAAACTGCTTGTCACTGGATTTACTTTATTTCTGAGGGCTTGAGCCCCTCTTCCTGACAGCCTCCCTATGGAAAATAACCAGGGCTCAGGCTTCATGAAACACAGGCCTGCTTTCTCCTGACAGCGCCACAAAGTCTCATCTCTAAAATGGAAATTGTGAACAAAACTCTGTGGCTGCTCAGACTGAGGCATTTGGCTGATTGCTCATGTCCACAGACTGGTCATGGATCTGAAAATCAAACTAGGAATGGGGAAATTCCACTTCCCTGTTTTTGGTGACGTTTCCTCTTTTCATTCCTGTCTGCCCAGATCAGTCAGGAGGGAAGCCTCAGACACCTCCAGAAACCTGAATTTTGCTGCAGGGGAACATGGAATCACAGAATCTCCCAGGCTGGAAGTGACCCACAAGGACTGAGTCAAACTCCTGGCCCTGCATAGCAACATGGAATCACAGAATCTCTGGGGTTGGAAGTGACCCACAAGGATCGAGTCCAGCCCCTGGCCCTGCATAAAAATGTGGACTCACAGAATCTCCCAGTTTGGAAGTGACCCACAAGGATCGAGTCCAGCCCCTGGCCCTGCATAGGAACATGGACTCACGGAATCTCCCAGTTTGGAAGTGACCCACAAAGATCGAGTCCAGCCCCTGGTCCTGCATAGGACACCCCACAAGTCCCCCCATGTGGAAGCTCCTGCAGCAGGTCCTGTGGGGAGCTGCTGAGTTGGTCATTTCTGGCTCTGGAACATTTCTCTAGCGAGGAAAGGCTGAGGGAGCTGGGCCTGTTCAGCCTGGAGAAGAGACAGCCCAGAGGGGATCTCTCACCATATTGATGTGTATGAGTGTCTGAAGGGCAGTGCCAGAGCATGGACCAGACTCTGCTGGTGCCCAGCAGTGGGCAAGAGGCAGCACTGACACCCAGGGAGTTCCACCCAAACATGGGGAAGAATTTCGTTCCTGTGTGGGTGACCTAGCACTGAACAGGCAGCCCAGAGAGGGTGTGGAGTTTCCCTCACTGGAGATATTCCAGAACTTCTGTGTGAAAAACGCCAATCACTTGTTTTTAAAATTTTAAAAGTTTAATAGTAATAAAATGGTTATAAAAATAGTAATACAATTAGAATAATAATAATTTGGACAATTTGAATTAGGACAATAT